AGGAATATATAATAGAGATCGAACTCTATTATATATGTTTTGATTATACTCCTTTCTTTTCTTTTATTATATCCAATAGTCAAAATCTATCACGATATTATATTCGAAGTACATAATTATCACGTTTCATTTTCTCATTTATTGTGCACTCCTGATTATACATATGTACTCATGTATTATAGCGAAGGCTATTTTTAAAAATAATGGCTAATGTTCGCGTAGATACCCATACATTGATGACTATTTGAAAATTAGTCATTGTATCTACAGACTGCATCTACACGCCCACTTGTACACCACCAGCGAGTGTTTACTGGGCTCTATTTACTGGCATGTGCGCCGGTGGCAGTCCAAGCTGCGACTGTACATGTAGACGGTGGCGATGGTAAATTTAGCCGGTAGGTGGCGGCCATATTGTATAGAGGAAACACCCTTGAAAGTTTCCGTGTTAGAGAAACATCGAATTTTGTTTGTTAGTCAACACATCGGATCTCAACAGCGTACGGACCGACGCTGTAACAGTTGTACAATATGCAGGCTATAAAATGTGTCGTGGTTGGCGACGGGTAAGTGATTCAGATTAGTTCCAAAAGTGTCCAAAACAGAGACGACCAACAGTCGTCGCTTGAATGGAAATTCGCATAGTTAAGAAGTTGTGTTGTCACTGGGTGTTGCTTAGTCATTCATTTCGCGTTGCCGTGATGCGCGAATTGACCCCGTATTTCCACACATCCTGTCATCGATTACTAGGCCTATAGAATAGATATGACAGACGTGTCGGTATAATCGCCATTAATTATTTGTTGTTCACGACAAAACTGATTTCCTCAATTCTTGATTTATACGATCCTTACCTTAGTGAATGTACACATTACTAATAGTAATACTGAATACAGTCTGTAGTAGGATTAAACCGAATAATTCTGTCCCATATAATCTTTTTTATATTTTGGTGAGGGTTATTAGGACAGAACGGGGTTCATTGAAATTTCGTGAGATCGCATGCAAAATGCATGCGCTGCGAATGCGGCCCGTACGCCGCTATTGGCGTGAAAAAAAACCTACTGTTCCCTTCTACATGGCTTTACCTTGCTACTGATATGTGTATACATTCACTTCAATCGTTATTCACTTCTTAAAAGATTGTTTTTCAGAAACACAGCTTCGTTTCACTTTCCTAAATCATTCGCCATTTACAAACAATCAGACCAATCAGAGCGAGTCTTACAATAGCCTGGTTCTCGCTTGTATCTGTGGCGCTGCAGGAGGGCTGATAGACTCGCTCTGATTGGTCTGATTGTTTGTAAATGGCAAATGATTTAGGAAAGTGGAACGAAGCGGGGTTTCTGAAAAACAATCTTTTAAGAAGTGAATAACGGTTGAAGTGAATGTATACACATATCAGTAGCAAAGGTAAAGTCATGTAGAAGGGAACGGTAGGTTTTTTTCGCGCAAATAGCGGCGTACGGGCCACATTCGCAGCGCATGCATTTTGCATGCTATCTCACGAAATTTCAATGAACCCCGTTCTGTCCCAATAACCCTCACCAAAATATAAAAAAGGTTATATGGGACAAAATTATTCAGTCTATAGTAGGATTAGCCTATCACTGTAGGATATCAGTGAGTTACGGCTTTCGCAAGGAATGTGTAAACGTATATTAGTCCACAGATCATAGGCATAATATTACTCTGCAGTTCAAGTGCATTTTTGCAAAACCCCAACTTTGTGATCTGATCACCGATGTGTGTAAGTTTGCACACATTTGATTTGTTAATATTTTAAATAGACATATCTAACTATACAATCATCACATTATACAGCGAAATAGACTTTGTGAGTGGTAACCATAAGGTTTTGTTCTGTTACTGTTACTGTTAGTGCCCCCTAGGTGTCTTGCACTTTGCAATTGTAAGTCTCTCAAGTCCTTCAAATATTAAAGTAATTCTACCAAATGTGACAACTAAATTTAGCAATGAAAATCTTAGATTTAACGACGTGCGATTACGGACACGATTCAAAGAAATTATTTTTTGTGTTAGCATTGATACCGATGTGGTCCTTTGAAACAGAAGTCATGCTTACAGTGTGTAGGTAGCATGTTTAATCCAGTGCTCAATACAGTAGATTTAGCCCCAGTGTATGCGTATGTGTGTCTGGGTACGTGCGTGTGAGTGCGTCTGTGTGGGTGTTTTGTGCGTCTGTATGGGTGTACGTATGGACATTTGCGTAACATCAAAAACTTAGACGGTAGAGTTGCATTCTGCAAAATATCATTTTCAACCTACTGGGACTTGCAAAGTGGCCACCGGTTTATCGCGATAAGAGGCGGGAATCGTGAATATGTCCCAATTAAGCGCTGAACATAACAATATAGAATAAAGATTGTATTTTTTTCGAAGACGAGTGCCGTTTAAGCAATACGTCTATTTTTCCGAGGCCTGGGAAAGTGGGGACGACTGTATCGAGTGGTTGGCACTATTTTGGCCTTATCTGAATTTGTCTGACTTTGACCCGTCATTATCATTGTTAGCGCATTTCATTTTTGTGGATTGTAATGTCGTAGGCGGATACGACGCTATGCTTGTATTCAGATATACTACTGTATACGCTGTATATTTCGCGGTGGTTAAATTTTAGCGAATTTTGCGAACGCGTCTCCGACTGCGAAAATAACAACACACGAATAATTCATACCGAATAATTCATAATTAACCACTCGCGAAATTGTCCGTCAAGTCTGAATTCACAAAAATATCTGTACGCGAAAAATATGGCGTATACAGTAATAATGTGAGTTCTTAGTTGAGTGACTCCATATTACCCTTGTTGGAGTCAACGTCTGACATGTATACATATTGCTGGAATGTGTACGATCGGATGACCCTTTGAGCTAGTGTTTATTCTTTAAAAAAAAATTTGTTATCATCCAGGTACTGAACAATAGATTTCATACAAGGTGAAATTTCCTCGGTTTGGGATCGAGAGAGAAACCTCGTGTTTAACGCGAGTCGCGATCTCTCATTGGTCAGCAGTATTGCATCATCGAGCTGCGTTGTAAGGCTGAACGTGATTGGTTTTCGTGACGTTCAGAATGCTGCTTTCTCGTTCGCCCACCCTTGTCAGTATTGGAAATAGCAGACGCCCCTCGGTTTGTAAATTTCGCGCACGTTTTTTCGGAGCCACTTTTTACAGATTTTTATCACAGGTTCGTACACGTCCGAGTGTCCGGACTGATTTTTGAAACTGCCGCCATACACGAGTCGGTTTTCGCATCGCCCACAGGGAATTTCGGACGTTCTCTTAGTTCTCCGCGGGATTTGTCGTCGTCGACCCGTCGCTAGGGGCGAGCCGGCATAAACGGCGATGGTGCGTTGCCTAGCAACCGTCCGACTCATTGGCGTTTACGTCATCGGAACCTCATTTGTATGACGTCTCGTCGGGTCAGCGTTTGACGATCGATTACGCACGCTGCACGTAGATGGCGCTGACGACATATTAATCGCCCCGTAGGCCATCCATCACTCTGCTAGGCCTTTACTCTTTTAGCGAGTGATTGATTCGGCCTGTTTCCGCTGCCAACGGTCAGGGGCTGCGTTGTCAGAAAGAAAAATGAGCCTTAGCGTTAGTCTTAACGTCACCTTTTTTCTCGCAGACTGTCAACAGAAATCTCGTGAAGTTACGAGTGTCTCGTACACAATATATAGAGAGAGAGGTCCAGTGTATGATAAAATAGTTAACGTCAAGACGCTAATTATGTTTCCAACAACCTTCCTCCTCCCTTCCCCGGGGGCTCGCTCCAGTGGGTCGCGTTCGCGAACATTTGCACGTTCGATCTTCATGTCGTTCGCACGTGGTTTCCCTCGGTGGCGCCCTCTAGCAGCTTGAAGCAATCGGCGTCGACCGAGCATCACAGGCGACGCGGGTATTAGACTAGCAGAATCTCGGGGATGCGTTTGCGCGGATGTTGACGCATTACGGAGAGGCGGGCGATCGATGCGCGGCGATTCGCTCGCTCTTCCACTGTCCTCTTGCACTTCACATGAGAATGGCTGTCATGGTCTAGCTCTGTCGCTAGCTTTAGTTCTTGCTCTAGGCCTAGCTCTAGCTGTAGCTGTAGTTGTAGGTCTAGCTCTAACTTTAACTCTAACTCTAACTCTAACTTTAGCTATAGCAGTATAGCTGTAGGGCTAGCTATAGCTCTTAACTCTAGCTATAGGGCTAGCTATAGCTGTAGTTTAGCTATAGGGCTAGCTATTGCTGTAGTTCTAGCTATGTAGTTCTAGCTCTAGGTCAAAACCATATTCAAGAGGGATGTAGGGAGCTTACGTATCCCCATGCAACAAACGTTGAGTGCTGTGCGACCTGTCGGAGGGGTTAAGAGCCTTCTCTCTGGTTATCGCATTGCGCCGTGGTCCCGGGTTCGTACGGGACACCAGGAAACCGTGCTTAAAAGTTTAAAGAAGCCTAAAAAAGTTTTAAAAATGCTCCTTTAGGTCTAGAAAATCCTGGAAAATCCTGGAAAATATGACATAACTGTGTAATTGATCCACAAAAGCGTTTGAAGTTGAGCGCACGCACGTCCGTCGTGTCGGATTTCAGAGGCGATAAAACTCGCTTCGTGCGAAAGTTCACTCACAGATCGTTGATAGGAGGATACGAGACGTAAAGTTTTTTATTTCGCGTAAATCTCCGGGTCTCGGAAAACGGGACTATATCTAAGTTCTATAAAGCGCGTGGAAACCTTCAGGAAAGGCGCTGTCTTAGGTAAATGAACGCGTGAATATTGTATTTAACTTGAATCTCTTGATCCTGGAAAATTCCTGGAGCTTTTGCTTAGGTCGAATCGCGCATTCCTGGAAAGTGAACTACTTCTAAGTGGTGCGTGGACGATTCGTAGAAAACTCCTAGGGGAAAATTTTGGATACGAACCCTGAAGATTTGATGTCACTAAAATTTCGCTCTCCTGGAAAATGACAACTTTTAATTCCTGTAAAACTGCCAGAGATAAATTCAGCCTTTCGTTCTCAGTTCCTGGGTGCCGGTTGTCAGAAACATCGTAAGTGATCATTGCTGTCGTGAGTCTGAAAAGTCGTAACTGTTAAAGTGTCGTGTCGGGCAAGAGTTACGACATTTTAGACTTACGATAGTCGTAAACGCTTACGACGTTCTGTCGACGGGCCACTGGTTTCTAAATCCGAGAAAACGGAATGCTCCCGGAGACGTGTTTAGCCCGCGAAACTGCTGCTGCTGTCAGCTGACATGACATAACAGCACGATGTAACAGCACGACATATAACACAGCATGATATAACAGCACACATAACAGAATGACGTAACAGAACAAAATTATAGCACGATGTAAGAGCACAACAAAACAGCACGACATAAACAGCATGATGTTACAGCATGACATAACATCACAACAAAGCAGCACCACGACATATAGTGGTGTTCCGATTAATCGAGTTCCGAGTTCGTCGATCATTACTCGCTTGGGCTGCCGAGTTGATTAATCGAGTAGAAAATCGGACGACCGAGTACAACTCGAACTTTTTTTCTTTTTTTTATTGAATTTGATGAGCAGTTATGTTGCAATGCTCTTTAGAGTGTTACCCGTCCGTAACCTTAACAGTATCCTTAATTTACTTACCATTAAATACTAGCTACACATACAATCATGCCAACAGTATCCTTAATTTACTTACCATTAAATACTAGCTACACATGTATACAATAATGTCAATATTCCTTCGTAATACACCGGTTGTGTCGACGATGACGCGGCGTCACCGCGTCGTCGCCGCAATCTAAAATGATCGATGATTAATCGATCATCGGTCGTTTTGTAAAACCGATGATCGATCATGAAATTTGGACCGATCTCCAACACTAACGACATAACACAGCACATGATGTTACAGCACGACAACATGGCAGTACGACATCAGGGGTAGAAATTTACTTTTGAACACGGGAGTCCAACGGACTCCCTACCCTCAAAAAGAGGGAGTCCGCAGTCTGAGGTTCAAAATTAAAGATATTTTAACAATAACGCATACGTGTGCTTATTATTAAGATTCATGCGGTTGCACGTCTGCCAAATTTTCTTTGGACATTGGCTGAAAAAAATATGCGAATTCCTCGAGGTCGTGCTCCGAAACGAACTATAGTTATTATGCAGAATTTTCAGGGAGTCACACGGACTCTTGCATATATGTGAAATCAGGGAGTCCGACAGTAAATCAGGGAGTATTTGACTCCGGACTCCCGTTAATTTCGCACCCTGCGATGTAACAGTACAACATAACAGCACAACAAAACAGTATGACATAATAGATATAACAGGGTTAATTGTTACTCAACATTGGAAGAACGTGAAGATTGGAAACGTACCGCTTACGTTTCGCCTCCTGCCAGGAGGCTTTCTCAAAGCTAACTGATGATTATCAGTTTTGACCACCAGATGGTGTGGCGGTCAATTGCTTAGTCCACACGTGACTAAGCCTGTATCCCCCTCGTCCTGGTTGATGTTCGGGGTCTTGCGGATCCAGATGGCCTCCTTAATTCAACGTCTGATTTTGCTTGGCTCGCGATCGATGATCTTCGAATTCTCCCAATCGATGGTGTGATTGTCCATCGCTACGTGGTCAGTGATCGCGGATTTGGTGATTTCGGTAGCCGACTGTTTTCGTTTGGTCCTTGTGAACGATTTGGGTGCTATGGTGTCTACGTCCTTACTGTGTTCTTTAAGGCAGGTTTCAAATTTTCGGCCGGTTTCTCCAATCTAACTTTTTTCACCCGAATGAACCTTATTTAATGAGTATGACATAAATAGCATGATGTAACATCACGACATAAACAGAACAACATGTCATGACACAGTATGACATAACACAGCACAATGTAACAGCACGTGACATCACACAGCACCCAGCACGCTGTGATGGTTGGGGGTGGGGTCGCGGTGGCCTGACGATGGCGCCAGAGGGGGAGGAGGGAGAGGGGGAGGAGACGGAAATGCATTCTACTCTCGATGCGATTTTTCTCGGCGATCGAACAACAAACAGGACGCGCTCATGGATTTTTGTGATGGAATTACGTGTGTGCGATCGGGGGCGAAGGGAGGGTGGGGTTGTCGGGATGCGAGAGTCCGTCTCTACAGCTCTGGGAAGCCATTGATGCGTGCGTGCGTGCGTGCGTGCGTGTGTGTGTGTGTGTGTGCGTGTATGGGCGTGCGTGTGTGTGCGTGTATGGGCGTGCATGTGTGTGTGTGTGTGTGCGCATGTGCGTGCGTGCGTGTGTGTGCATGTGCGGGTGCGGGTGCGTGCGTGCGTGCGTGTGTGTGTGCTTGTACATGTGCGTGCGCGAACTGTGCTTGTACATGTGCGTGCGTGCGTGCGTGCGTGCGTACATATAAACCAGGGAGACACGGTGGTACAGTTGTTAGTTAGTCAGGTCTATCTCTCACGCCAAATACTGCGAGTTCAATTTTCAGTCGTCGCAGTGAATAAAGAATTTTCTCAAGATGTAAAAAAAACTTGATTCTTAACGTTGTTGCGGGAAGGTGCTTTGTGAATCCCTCCAGACTATGATGACATGACAACTGAAACGCTCGTGGGACGTGTCTCCAGTCATCGGGAACGAAAACCAACCATTGATAGCATAAAATACTGCCACTGGCCGCCTTCGCTCGCTCGCTCTCTCTATCTTTCGCTCTCGCTCTCTCTGTCTCTGTCTCTCTCTCTCTCTCTCTCTCTCTCTCTCTCTCTCTCTCTCTCTCTCTCTCTCCTCTCTTCTCTCTCTCTCTCTCTCTCTCTCGCTCTCTCTCTCTCTCTCTCTCTCGTCTCTCTCTCTCTCTCTCGCTCTCGCTCTCTCTCTGCTCCTCTCTTCTCTCTCTCTCTTGCTCTCTCTGTGTCTCTCGCTGTCTCGCCCTCTCCTTCTCTGTCGCTCGCTCGCTCGCTCTCCTCTCTCTCCGCTCGCTCCTCTCTCGCTCGGCTCGCTCTCTCGTCCCGTCTCTCTGTTCTCGCCACTGTCGTCTTTCTCTCTGGCCGCTTGCACGCTCCTCCCCTCCCCTCTCGTTCTGTCTCTCGCGTTCACCTCGTTGGGCGTCTCTGCTCCCGTTGCTCGCGTGCGGGGTGTTTCTTGTGATGTGTCGTGCGGGGTCTGTGTCCCTGTGTGTGTTGCGTGTGCCTGTGTCTGTCGTGTCATCGGTGGTGGTCTGTGCGCCAAGGGTGTGTCCGGATCCAGTTGCTATGGCTCCTGGTCACGTAAGCTCATTCTGGTGTAAGACCGGTTACTTTCATCCTTTTTTAAGAAATGGCGGTGTTGATAGTAAGGTTATCTCTTAGTGGATAGACCTGTCTGGTCCAGGGAGCACGGCATCTATCGTGTATAGATAGAAAAATTTAGTACCTTTTAAAAGTTTAATATGATCAAGGAAGTGGAAATTTGATATATTAATGCTTACTACATCTCCATTCCACTAGCAGTGATGTACGGTGAACCCAGATGTGACAGAGCTCTCAGCAGCACCATGTCGTGAGCCTTCATTCTTCGTCTGTAAGAACATCGAAAGCTTTAACATATCCATTATAGTTTGTATAATGGCAGGAAATGAGCTGTTAAATATAGTAAACGTGTACGTACAAGCCCTCCTTAACGTGTCATAGTGTGGTGCTGCGCGTGTTCCTGGATGACGTTGTGGGAGTTTAGTCGTCGTACAAGGTCCTATTCCTGCGGTGATCACGGAATTCGTTGTGACGCCCTTATCACAGGCAGGAGAAAGCACTGCACATATCGTCGTAAGAAAATTAGAAAGTTTTATAGTCAACCCTTTAGTTAAATAAGTTTGTAATGCGCAAGGAAGTGTAAATTGTATATATTGTAAAGCTTACAGTACAGTCAATCCATCTCTCAGGTAGCCAGTTGTGATGACCCGTTGAAATTAGGAGGTTGGCACCCGCCGTTGGCAGAATGTCCAGGTGAGGAGCATGCCAGCCTCAGGTCTGAAAGAAAAAATCGAAACATTTTCATCATCAATTCTTCTGTAACATTAGGTGATTGTTCTGTGGGTTTAGGTTAGCGTAGGTGTCATGTGCCGCGTGTGTGTGTCTGTAGGCGTGAGCGTGCGTGCCTGTCGTGGCTGGTCGAAAGCGGTTGAAGGTGAGACTGTTGTGTGTATTGTGTCTAGTTAATGTGAGTCGCATGATAGTGTTCTGTACCACGTTAGCATACACAGAGGCTCCATGCCTGATGTGTTTGACTCCACTTGTGCTGTGCGCTAAGCCCACATGTTGGTACGTCCAATGTAATCGAGGTGTATAAACTCTCCCTGACCGGCTTAGTGTTATGCTCACTCGCGCCAGTGCACAATTGGTTCACAATTTGCGTCGCCAGGAGAGCAGGCATACTCAGCCAATCTTGCCCTTCAATTTCGTCATGTCTATAAGAACACCATTTACTATAGAAGAATTTCCAATTCATTAGCTCACACCGTCTCATTTCAGGAATAAAGTGTTTACCGGTCTAATCATGGTCCTCCAAGATAGTGTGGATATATTATTTGGTGATATGTATTGTTGTTATGTTGTGTTTGTCTCATGCTAGTGACCTAACGTGTCGATATCTCGCATGTGCAATCTGCATTCAGCCAAGTGCGTTTACTAGCAATGTTGACAGTGGGGTCTAGTTGCCGGATGCTTGCGCACACGCAGCATGTAGCATTCGCATGGTCCTCGATGGTGTGTGAGAGTGTACCGCTGCATTCATCATCGTCTGTAGAATGAAGAATCTGAAAACAGCATTTAATAATGGCAATATCTTCATTACTTGAGTTTGGTAATAATGAGCAAGGAAGTGAGACGTGCTCGGACATTTATTATGTTGAAGGCTGCTTACCTCAGTACAGTCAAATCCAGATCTCCACTGTAGCCAGCTGTTGCATGTTACACGCTGAAAACTTCCAGGAGGTGTGTGTGTCACACGCAGGCATTTAGGCATCACATGACGTCACAGGTGAAGCCTGCATGTCATCAGATCGTCTGTGAAGAAATACGAGAAAAGCAATTTCTAGTCAACACCTTCNTATCTCTCTCTGGCAGCTTGCCAGATCTATAACATCCACTATAGATGTTCAACCATCTCGTTGGGAGTAGTCTAACATTGATAAGCGTTGATAAGCGTGCGGGTGTGTGTCTTGTGTGTGTGTGCGGGTATGTGTCTGTGTGTGTGTGCGTGTGCATGTGTCTGTCTGTGTGTCTGTGTGTGTGTGTCTGTGTGTGTGTCTGTGTGTGTCTGTGCGTGTGTCTGTGTGTACGTGTGTCTGTGGGTGTGTGTGTATGTGTCTATCTGTGTGTCTGTGTGCGTGTGCGTGAGCGTGTGTGTGTGTGTCTCTCTGTGTGTGTGTACGTGTGTCTGTGTGTGTGTGTGTGTGTGTGTGTGTGTGTGTGTGTGTGTGTGTGTGTGTGTGTGTGTGTGTGTGTGTGTGTGTGTGTGT